CTGAGCAAGACACAGATGCAATTCTATAGGGACCTGCGCACGCTGAGCAAGACACAGCTGTAATTCTATAGGGACCTGCGCACGCTGAGCAATGCACAGATACAATTCTATAGGGACCTGCGCACGCTGAGCAACACACCGATGCAATTCTATGGGGGCCTGCGCACGCTGAGCAAGACACAGATGCAACTCTGTAGGGACCCGCACATGCTGAACAAGACACAGATGCAATTCTATAGGGGCCTGCACACACTGAGCAATACATACGCGGTCCGTCTGCACACGTAAGCATGCAGGGTCAGCACACGTATGTACGTATGCACACAGGACAGCACAGGGCTCTGCAGGGCCCTTTGTGGGCCTGCATCTTCATCAGAACCCAGCACACGAACTGCATTTGCTCGCACCCCCGGTGACAGAGAAGTCTGGCCTGTCCCTGGTGCCTATAGGTGCAGTGGCACCGGGAGGGCCCCCTTCCCCGCCAGTCGGGCTGCGAGCAGCCTCTCACAGCAGCCCTCTCTTGTGTTTGGACCAGGACTCCCACCGCTTCGGGAACCACCTGAAACAAGCCATGCTTGACATCATCAGCCTCATCAGCTTCAGCCCCAACTCCACCAAGTAACCCCCTCCCACCCGAGCGCACCCCACAGCTGGTGCTTCTCACGGAAACCAAATGCACAGTGGGTGTTAATCCCGCGGGGAGTTCAGCCAGGGAAATGGCTCTAAAACAGAGAGAAAAAGAAACTGACCTTGTCCTCCCAGCGAAGGGCTGGGCGCTTTCCTTTCTCTAGAACAGTCGCCTCTGCCATGTGAACTGTAAACCCTGCTCCCTCCAAAGTTAGATCTTCATACCACTTCCGGGTCGCTCCCTGACCTTTCTGGTAACAGCTCCCCCACCCCCTACCCCCTAACTCCTAAAGCCCGGATAGCCGCTTGTATTGTATTAAGGGATAGGGATGTCGCTGGGGCCTGGCCGGGGCCGCTCGGCTGCATCTGTCAGACATGGGCATGTGTCACATCTGCTCAGTGGTGACCGAGGACCCGGGGCCAGCGGGCGTCCAAGTCAACGGAGGTGTGGCTGAGGGGTTTTGCTGAGAGGACAAGGTGATTCAAGTCGGAGCTGGGAACGGTCCCCACTGACACGCTCGAGGCCTGGCTGTTGTCACCGCGGCTCACGCACTCATCCGATTTGGGAGGCCGTGTCTGTTGCCCGGTGGCACCAGCAGGGAGCAAGTGGTCACCCTTCAGCTCCAGCCCCCCTGCCAGTCTTCAGAACCCAGTGCCTTATACCCGGGCAGCGTGAGCAAGCACCCATCACGTCGCCTGCATGCCTGTCTTCCGGGTGCCCCCTCTCCCCAAGGTCGCCCCTGTCTGTCCGGTCCACAGAGCTGTTCCCCAATGAGGGCCGCTGGCTCGAGTGAGAATGCCTTCCTTGCGTAGCTAAGCAACAAACACCCAAGTGGCCCGAGCCAGCCCTGGGGAGCCAGGAACAACCCCTGCAGCATCTTCCGTGTTGGGGGACTTCGCTCGAAAACCAGAGAGGACACGGGCCACGCTTGCTCCCACGGATGATGGAGATGGCCTGGGATGCACCCCTGGGGAAGGGGCAAGACCTGGCCAGCAGGGTCCCTGACCCGAGGGGGCAGCCAACACCCGGCCTGCCTCTGGTCCCTGGAGGACAGCCCTGCACCCAGCCCACCCCCCACCCGGTGGGTGCCTTCACCACAGTGCATCGGCTTGACCAAAAATCCCTGCCATGCACCAGTCTGCATCAGTATTTGCTGTAAAGATACATTCCCCAGGGGTGTTCCTGCGGGGCCCAGTCCCGCCTGCCCACCCAGCCGTGCCCCACGTCGCGTATTTATTCTGCTGACCACTGTCGTCCCGGAGGAGGCCTGCACTCCAGGGCGACAACCCCAGGACCTCGTGACCAGACGGAGGAGGCGGAGCCCCTGCGATCTTACGTTTGTATATTTTGTAATGTAAAAAAAAATTCCCCTGCAGCAGGCCAAAGATGTCCTTCCCCGCTCCCACCCACACATGCGCCCCTCCTCTGAAAAACCAGATGACGTGAGAACCGGAGACAAGAGAATTCCAGGTGCAAACCCCCGTGGGCGTCAAGGAGGCCTGGCCTCCCCTCTCCCGCCATCCGCCACTGGCCTGTGGGTCAGGCGGGGGGGTTGAGTGTGTGCCTGGGCTCGCCTGTGTCTCAGGCGTCACTGTGGCTGCTCAGCGGGTTGACCAATGCCACTGTCCATTCCTTGGGAGGAGGAGTGTGTATTCTGCGGGCTGAGCGGGCAGATGGGGTATTTTATTCTGTGTGATCCGATTGGAGCTGTGGTCCGCCACTCGCCGCCCGCCTGTAAGAGTGGAACGCTGTTTGTGATGGAAATCTTAGATGTGCACAGTGTGGATTGTAGGTGATCGTTAATAAAATTAATCTCCACCTACAGCAGCTCTGGCCACCTGGTTCCTTCCTGCGAGGGAGGTGCTGTGGAGCCTGGTGGCTCAATGGTCAACTCAACACCGTCCATGGGGGGTCTGGGTGGGTGGGTAGGGCCGGGGTCGATTCCCAGCCTCCTGTGGAGCCACCATCCTGGGGAGTCTGGCGTGAAACTGACGCTCAGTGGGTGCCAGCGGAGCCTCCAGTCTCAGGTGGACCAGGAAGAAACACTTGGAAATCCAATTTCAAAAACCAGCCAACGCCAAATGGGTACCTCGCTTCCTGGGGCAGGGGCAAGGGTACCCAGAGGTCAGGGGCAATGAGGAGGCAAGTACTGCTGTGACCAGCTCGGCCAATGGGATAGCAGTGACAGACCAAGCTATGGCAGTAACCATGAACGGCCTGGAGGTGGACATGTCCAACCTCCCCAGGCTTCCCCATTGCTAGGAGGTGAGGGTCAGACACACCAGTCACTCTGCCCCTGTTACTTACCCTGACACCAGCAGTCCCTCCCGCCTTATCTGCCCCCCTGCTGGGTTCGAGAATCGGTGGCAGTAACCTCAGAGCCCTCACAGCAGAGGGAGTTTATCAGGGAGGTTAGTGGCCGCAGGCCGTCAGGAGAGTAGTCCCTGGGCTCTTCAGCCAGCAGTCCAGTCCTGCTGGACCTCAGCCTCTGAGCCACATTGCCCTCCGGAAGCCTGTCGCTCTGTCCCACAGCCACAGTGTCGGGCCACAGGAGGAGAAGATGCCCCTCAATTCTGAGTCTCCAAGCCACCATCTCATACCTCAGGTCTTGGCAGCCCCCTCTCTTTAGAGATCTCGAAGGCGCTTTTCCAAAGTGATGGGGTTCCTTCCGGCCAGGAGGGTGGTTATGAAAACTGACCAGTGCTCAGGGTTACACACAGTCTATTTGCATAGCCCCACCCGGTCCTTTGGTGGGGGCTACAGAGCCAAGGGTTGCCATGCCATTAAGTGGATGCCAGTTCCCAGCAGCCCTACCGGACAGGCCACAATTGCCCCTGTGGGTTTCCAAGACTTTATTGGAGCGGAGAGCCAAGTCTTTCTCTTGCAAGCAGCTGGTAGTTTCCAACTGCTGACCTTGTGGATTGCAGCCCAGCATCGACCACTGCCACCCGGGCTCCTGGACTTGGGTAGAAAATTTGCTTTAAGGAATGGCACTCCCACCTCTGCTGGCGGTAGGCCAGAGTAGGGCCGCAAGATGCCTGAGCTCGATGGAACCCACGAGTGGGGGCACTGGCTCGTCACTGATCCCTCATTTACTCCTCCATTACCGTCCGGCACCTGGCGCACAGTAGGTACTCAGTAACCCCCCTGCCATCAGCAGGTCAGTTCCAACTCCTAAGGTTTCTGAGACTATATATATATAGTATATATATATAGCATATACATATATATACACACATATACATATATACTTAATTATATATACATATATATACTTAATTGTATATGTATATATACAATTATATGTGTGATTTAATGTGGTATAATTTAATCATATGATTTAATTGATATAGATGATTTAATAGTTTAATCATATAAAGAAGAGTTGTACCATCATTACCACAGTCAATTTTAGAACACACCCCCCCCAGGGTTAAATCACTTTTACAACGAGCTTTGTGATCACTGTCAGTTCTAGTGTCCCTCCCCCCCTCCCACATACATTGTCTGCACCCCCTGCCTCCTCCCTCTCCCTGTCTCCCACCCCTCACCCCCTACCTCCCCTATAAACCCATGCATCCGTTCTTATCTCTATGCATCTACTCCTGAGATTCACACACTGGAAAACCCAACAGAAACAATAAAAAATACTGTACCTCTTTACAAGAGTGGGAGCCTCGTCTTCAGCACTCCCATCTGCTAGTGGGTGTGAACCACTGACCAACTCCTCATTCGACAGTCCCACTGAGGCTCCTTGAAAGGGCCCTGGGGGGCCGGGATTCCCGTGGTGGAGAGCAGAGAAAGCCATCTGTCCAGGGTCCGGCATGCAATGTTCTGAGAAAGCTCAGCACTGGCTGGCTTCTTCCAACACAGGTTTGCTTGTTGGTCCCCACAATGATCTTCGCCAGCACCGCGTTCAAATGCATCAATTTTTCTTGAGTCTTCCTTATTCAGCGTCCAACTTTCACGTGCACCGAAAATACCATGTGTTGGCTCGTGAAACCCAAACTAAGGATTCACTGCCATGAAGTCAATTCTGACTCAGCGACCCTATAGGACAGGGTAGAACTGCTCCCGTGGGTGTCCATGAATGAGCAGAAAGTCGTGCCTTTACCTGGTGAAGAGGCTGGTAGTTTCCAACTGCTGGCTGGCTCCGGAGGGCTCTGCCCTAGCCCCGCCCTACTGTCGCTGAAACCACGCCTCTACAGCCCCTACTTGCTGACCACGCCTCTTCTCTAGGCACCCAAGGCTCCCCTTTCTCCAGCCCTGGTTCCACCCCATCCCTCTGATGCGCTCCACGCCTAGTGCCAAGGCCACGCCCTGTCCTTATCAAGCCCCGCCCTCAGCCCGCCCCAGC